TAGCAGCGAGTGCAGTAGTAGCAGTATAGCAGCAAGTTAGCACGTAGCAGCAGTAGCAGCAGTAGCTAGTAGCAGTGCTAATTAGTCAGCAGTAGCAGTAGCAGTAGTAGCGTAGCAGTTAGCAGTAGTAGCCAGTAGCAGTAGCAGAGTAGCAGCAGTAGTAGCAGCTAGTAGCAGTAGCAGCAGTAGCAGCAGTAGCACGCAGCCGGGTAGTAGAGTAGCAGTAGCAGCAAGTAGCGTGCAGTAGCAGTAGCAGTGCAGTAGCTAGTAAGGGCGAAGCAGCAGTATAAACACATTCCAATCTATTGTCATTGTGATTGACAGGTGACTAATTCTGCAGAATCTGATTCTTGCGTTCCGTGTTGCAGAACACGCAACACTCATTAATATGTGTTTACAGAGTGTGGTCACGCGTCACATGTCGTGGAAACACACTGACGAGAAGGAACTAGACAGTTTAAATAGTTGGCACAAACTGTAGTGTGTCCTGCTTCTGTGATCACTGGCAAACACAACACACACACACACACACACGCAGAGACACACCTACAGACACACACACACACACACACCACACACACACACACAACACACAACACAGACACACACACACACACGCAGAGACACACCTACACACACGCACACACTCACACACACACACACTCACACACGCGCGCACACACACACACACACACACACACACATACACGTTTTTGTTACCTGGTGGGTCCCTTTGACAGGGCCGTTCAGAATGGGACCCATAGACATAATCTTTTTTTACCAAGACTTTAAGTAATACAAAACAGTCAATAGAAAACAAACAACTCTTTTAAAGGAATTTTATTTTTGATTTTTTTTTCGAATTGCAGTGATTCTATTTTTGACATAGAATTTAATGCCACTCCATGTCCGATGTCTAAGGTCATCTGGTGAGGCATTAATGCAGGCCAGGCCAGGCCAGGCCAGGCAGTGAGACTTCCCAGGGACTTTTCCAGTCTGTATGAAAGGCGTCATGGTCTTCTCCACAGCCTCCACCTCAGATGCAGACCATGGCTTTCTTACACGTTCTAGGGAGAGAAATAAAAATATATTAGCAATATACACTCCCAGGGTTAGGACCAAACAGCCTGGCTGTAATCCCCCACCTGGTACACTTACCAGAAGGGGCACTGCCACTACCATGGGGTGCATCTGGATGAATGGTTGAAGGTTCTCCGCTTGAAGTTTCTTTTAGCCCGTCCGTTTGTGAGAGGATCTCTACTGCTCTCCCTGTCGCACAGAAAATAAAAATACAAGTGGCCTTTAGGGGAAAAAAATCATACATATTTTAATAATATCAAGAATTACCTTCAGGCTCAATTTGTATCTGGTCGAGGCTCTTTCCTTTGAATTCCGTCACTCTTCCCTGCTCCATGGCCATCAACACTTTGCTGATTTTGGCCAGCTCCAGTGTCCCCTCTGGTAGTCTGTAATATTGTCTGTGGATGCGAATGTCATGGCCGAGGAAGTTGGCTAGTATGTCCATCTCATTCTCTTTCATATTGAGAACTGTAGACATAGTAGCTATGTGCTTTCTAAGTGTGGTTGAGGATAGCATCTCTGGATGCACCGCACCACATTCTTTGGCTACCTGCCGTAGGGAGTCTGATCCCCTGATGTGGGTGTCTGCGCCCGGGCGGGAAAAGAAGTATGGGTTATGGTCAGAGATGGAACAGGCCCTTCTGTTCTCCACCAGCACCTCCATCCAAGCAATCATTTCAGGAGTCAAAAGAACCGGCACTTTCCGACTTCTTTTCCCTTTAATTTCAATGCGTTGAAAATGCTGACACAGCTTTTTCTCAAGTTTGGACAGTCCCAGAGCAATGTCAGAATGGATCCCAGTCTTACTTCTTAAGGTAAAGGCTGTCAGTGGCATCTTTGAAACCTCACCTTCCCTTCTTCGATTGAAAATAATGACCTCACAAAGAGTCAAAACTGCCAGTTTAGACCAATGCTTAGACGTTGGCTCACTTATTAGGGTTTGCACATATTCAGGTCGACATACCTCAATATGTGCATGCATGGCTCTAACGTCCTCAGTCAGAGGGAGCAGGTCCAGAGTGTTCCACTTGGCTTGCCGGAGGGTCTGTAGGGCAGCAGAAGAAACAGACGTCCCACCTCTTCTCAAAAAGCAGCCGGCTTCGTTGGAGGTTTTTAATAAATAGTTCATCAACACAATGCTCCATTTTTGAGTCACATTCAAGAATATCTGCTTTCTGAGGCTATGGCCGAGTTTGAGGGCCAAGGATGGAGTCTTGTATTGATTTGTTTCCTCATCATATCCAGCCACAGACCTGACTGCATCAATCACATGGTTAAAGTTGGAAGGAATAAAGAAATCCTTAATTGTTTTCAGTTTCCCTGCGGTTTTTGCTTCGTTAATTAACCTACCGACTTCTCTCATTTTCTGCCTAATGTAATCATGCTTAGTCTTATCATGCCCGTGTTTTAAGTACAGGTGCTCTCCGAGTCTCAGAATCCCCTTTTCTGCTTTGACAACACCCGTGACCTCATCCTGATGCATTGCCGAAATTAAAGACCACAGCTTTTTGCTGATGCCCTCCGGTACAGGCTGGGCTAGGGAGCAGAGGGACTGGACCCTACTTCTACCTGGTTTAGCCTGGGCATCTTTCTGTGAAAGCCGGCACCTGGCCACATGCCTCCACAGCGACTTTCGCTTAAGCAATGCCCCACAGTCTATACAGTGCAAAAACTCACTGGATTTAACTGGGGAATTTGGCTGTTTAGCTGGGACTAAAGTTCCAATGCCGGCCTTTAAAACCTCAACATTGTGCTCACGGTTTCCACTATTCCTGATCAAATCAAAGTGAAGTTTACGTGCTTTAGATTTCACAGGTAGAGCCAATGCTCTGGCTACGTCACTTTCATTTCCATGTTTTCTAGTCAAATGACGGGACATTTTGTGGCAGGACATTGAACAGTAGAGGCAGAAGTGTCTCTTGCTGTAAACTCGCCCCCCATTTTTCTTTTTTTGCAGCTGCATGATAACAATCTTATTTGCCTTTGGTTCGTCACTTTCCGAGTCTTGAAGAAAAGTGTTTTTGATTTTTCTTTTTCCATACTTTTTTACAGGTTTCTTCTTGACAGTTAAATTGTCCGAATCTGAGTCGACTTCATCAATTAGGGACTCTTGACTAAGCTGCACAAACAACAAATAATTTGCAATAATTCTATATAACAATTTGAAGTCATGACTTGTAGTCAGCACTTACCAGTGGTTTGTACAGTAAGCGTGCGCTTCAGTGTGCTGCTCTGTGATTGGCTGCAGCCTAATGAACCACACACTTGCACCTTTTTCTAGCCTGACACCTGATTTCCTCTGTTGTGCTGCTCCATGATTGGCTCCAGCCTGCTGGACTGAAATTGCCCCAGTGTGCCCCTCCTTGATATCCCGCAACCCACCACCAGGGTTCCGACACATAACACACTTTTTTCAGGAAAGTAAACCTCCAGGGGTCCTTTCCATATTTTTACAGAGACTGCATAAGGACCGTTAGAAAAGCATTACCCATTGATTATTAAGCTTGGACCAGTGGGGTCCGGTGTTCGGGCCCCACCACGTAAAACCAGTCCCCATGACGTGAGTGGAATCTCAGGTTATGGAACCCACCAGGAGTTGAAAACAAGTGCACACACACACACACACACACACACACACACACACACACACACACACACACACACACACAGAGCCTCAGTTTTTAAAGATCACTATAGAATCAACACAAAGTTGAGTTGAGTGCACTACATTTTAACTTGTAATCACCTTTCAGTTTCAAACATGATGAAAGGTCAGAAAGAAAAACATTTCCAACACATGACATTTAACATGAATTACACATTCTCTAAATCAACATTCACTGTTTCTCATGTTCTCTGTTTCTCATGTCGTTGCTCTTTCATGTATTTACATCATTCAATATTTATGTTTTTACAACAAAATACATCTTTAATGTCTTTAAAATGACTCAAATGGATCCATTCCGGCAACAGTAAATACTTCTGTCATTTCTATTTTTCCATAATTGGTTTTCTGTGTTTACTGTATATGATCAGTGCTTTTGTTTTGAAAGGACAGCACCGGGTGTTGCCAGGCAACACAAGGTGACAGCAGCAGTTCAACAGCAGCAGTTCAACAGCAGTAGTTCAACAGCAGTAGTTTAACAGCAGTAGTTTAACAGCAGTAGTTCAACAGCAGTAGTTTAACAGCAGTAGTTTAACAGCAGCAGTTCAACAGCAGCAGTTCAACAGCAGTAGTTCAACAGTTGAACTACTGCTGTTAAACTACTGCTGTTGAAGTTCAACAGCAGTAGTTTAACAGCAGTAGTTTAACAGCAGTAGTTCAACAGCAGTAGTTTAACAGCAGTAGTTCAACAGTTGAACTACTGCTGTTAAACTACTGCTGTTAAACTACTGCTGTTAAACTACTGCTGTTGAACTGCTGCTGTTGAACTGCTGCTGTTAAACTACTGCTGTTAAACTACTGCTGTTGAACTACTGCTGTTAAACTACTGCTGTTGAAGTTCAACAGCAGTAGTTTAACAGCAGTAGTTTAACAGCAGTAGTTTAACAGCAGTAGTTCAACAGCAGTAGTTTAACAGCAGTAGTTCAACAGCAGTAGTTTAACAGCAGTAGTTCAACAGCAGTAGTTTAACAGCAGTAGTTGTAGGTTAGTTTATGGTTGTTTTGTTTCCATTGTCCTGTAAATACCATGGGTAAGTAATACCATGGGTAAATACACTTAACGTTTTAGCCACGAGATGGCGCCTAACGGCCGTTAACGGATCCGTGCTGGATCATTT